GAAAACATGTCTTTTTCTTCACATAGTAATTATTTCTTCCTGCTCCTAGTGGCATTCCCTTAACTTGTCTCTGATTGTTCCCACAAGCACACCTGCAATAGGCACTCTATTTAGCTTGAATTGGTGGACTGTATTTACCAACAATAGATTGATCAGAAGTAACTGAGTTAGAAGCAACAGATTCATATTTCAAGGAGACATTGGTTTGTTCAATAGTGCTCTCCTTGTTATCATCTTCCGTTACTTTACCTGCACAGGAAGTAGAATCATTAGTATCCTTCACCTCAACACCCTTAGTTGGCCCTGATTGTTCAGTCTTAACTGAAGCTGGTGCAGGGGTTTGGCTATACTGAGCAGGTGTCTCTACCTCATTGGTTTCAAGGGGTAGGTTATAGTTGTCATTAAAGGGAGGTGGAACACTATGGTACCCTAAACCCTTATTTTGATTATCTTTATATTTTAGTTGTTTTCAATCATGGATGCAACTACCTCATTTGACACATCAAATTTCTTAAAGTTAAATTCATCATCATTATATTTAGCTTTCAATGCATCAAGTTCGGCAGTTAATTCAGTAAGTTGTCTCTTAACATAGTTATAGTTTTCACATTTGTTACTGTATTCCTATTAAAGTTTTCCGAAGTCCTTGATCTTAGCGTCTAATTGTTTTTTAAGGGTTTTTGACCTTTCCTAAGAGTATATCCTTCATATTTAAGGTCCTCATTTACCCTTTTTAGTAAATCATTTTGTTCACGAAGAAATTTAATCTTAGCTTCACAAGATGGAGTACATGAAACTTCATTGATCGGGATGCTTGAAGAACTAATTGTTTACCAAAAAATGCCCTTTGACTAAAAACTTAAAAGTCAACCATAAAAGTCAAACTGAAAAGCTAAATTTGAAATTTTGAAAGTTAAACGAGAAACTCAAAGTTTAAAGTCAAAGGTTAAACTTGAAAGTCAAAGTCAAATTTTAAGGTCAAAAGTCAAAAATAAAAGTCAAAAATTAAAAACTAAAATTTTTGGTTGAAAATGAAATTTAAAATAAAAAAAAATGAATTTTGGACTGAAAGTGTTAAAATTGCGAAATTTGAACCGAGAAATCGAATCCTTTTGAATTAAATACGGAAGGAGAATAACATCTAGAAAGCTAGATGAGTTGGAAGGGGCGCTGATTAATTACATAAGGGATCCCATTTCGATCCTTCCAACCCCCAAAATCCTTTTGATTATTTGTTGTTGCTGCGAAGACTATACGCGCGAGGAATGCACACGCTGTTGGGCCAAGAACTCGACTGCTGACCACAAACGTGAATGCTTCTTTGGTTAGTCACGAACACTACTTCAGAGGCCGTGAACCCTTCTTCGGTTCACAAAACAATAACACTTTTTTCACCCTTTTTCCTCCAAAACTCGTTTTTTTTTTTTTTTTTTTATGAAAAACACAACGACAAACCCCCAATATTTTTCAAAAAGCTATCCAAAAACGAAAAATATCTCAAGAAAAAGATCAAAAACGCTTCAGATCTTGCCAGTTTGATTGATACAATCCAAGCTCTGATACCAACTGTAAGTCCCAAATTTGCTTGACGTGTCAATCAAATCCAATTGATGGTGCAGAATCCCAATCAATTGGATGATGCAAGATCAAAATAAGAAGAAGTAGAAGAAGAATAAGATGAATCTATGATGTTTATATGATATGAATGATAACCCAACACTAGATTCACACACAATTTATTCTTCTCTCTAGTTTCTCTCTCTAGGACACATTGATTTGCACACACTTAGCACCCTCCTAGCCGTATATTACCTCTATAATCTAACATCTATTTATATGGAACATGGGCCGTGAACAGGTTCACGGCGGTGAACCAGTTCACGGTCTTAAACATGCACCTGGGCCGTAAACACTCCTAACCGCACACACCACATGGACCGAAAACTATTAAAGCCTAGAATACTAAAGTATAAACCATTTTTTAGACCCAACACATACAAACCCTAAGGATGTTGTTATGACCTTTTCAACCCCAAAGGGGCCATGCATGGAAGCAAGCTCGAGACTTTACGTGGTTAACTGGTATTTAGGCCCTAGATCTAGGTTTTCATGCTTTGGTTTGGGACACCGAGGCCGTTTGGACAAGATTTATGCCATACAAGAATTAGGGTTTTAGCTAAACCCTTCAAAAAACGACTATCAATGGGTAAAGTTGGAAACTTTATCCTTAGAAAGGTCATTTCCAGTGAACAATCGAAGTTTGGGCTTCAGATCTATAGAAAATAGCTTAATCTATTAAGATGGCCAAACAGACAGAAGGACTCGTCGAGTCCATGAGTCAACTCGATGAGTCGGGTTGTTTTGTCCTATTCCAGTTTATGGTAGAACTTGACGAGTCTGTAGAGGGACTCGATGAGTTGATTCGCCAAGTCATGACTATGAGCAGATCGATAGGACTCGACGAGTCGGAGGACGACTCAACGAGTTGAGTCGCAATTCCAGGATTTCTAAGTGATAGAACTCGACGAGTTGAAAGGTTGACTCGGCAAGTCGGTCAACCCAGAATGTTAACTTTAATGAGAGCGTTGACTTTGGCCAGGGGTAAAATGGTCATTTTACCCTTAGATGGATTTTCTATCTTCTGACTAAGTATTATTGTATAGAGTTAGCTGGGAGTCGTGGGAGCAGCTTGCAGAGATTCCTCATGCACGAGATCAACGTCCAGTTTGAGAGGTGAGTTTTCCTATAGTAGAACTAGTCAAAGGCACCAAGGCCGACCTGTATATGTTATGTGTATGACCAGTAGCTGAGTGTGGTGGGGGCCCGTATCTCCTAGTTAGAAGAGTGTGGGTGAGGCTCATATCTCATAGCATTATTTGAGTGTGGATATATATGATTGTTTGATAGCTGTAGATGTACTTGTTGCCTATGTGATACTTGTATGCATGTTAGTAGCTGAGTGTGGGCGGGGTCCGTATCTCAGAGTAGCTGAGTGTGGGCGGGGTCCGTATCTCAAAGTAGTTGAGTGTGGGCGGGGTCCGTATCTCATAGTCAGCAGAGTGTGGGTGGGGCCCGTATCTCCTAGTTAGCGAGTGTGGGTAGGACTCGTATCTCCATGAGTGTGGGCGGGGCCCGTATCTCTTAGTTGCATGTATGTATGTATGGTATGTGGTAGTTTGGGGAGACTCACTAAGCTTCATGCTTATAGTTTTAGTTTTTGGTTTCAGGTACTTCTGGTAGCAAAGGGAAGGGCTCGGGATGACTGCATGGCACACACAACCACTTTTTTCCTAGGATATTTACTCTAGTTGATGAAATAAGGAATCGAGTATGTAATGAATCAGAGTAACAAATGATCAAAAGAAATATTTCGAGATTTGAACACTGATGTAAATATGATTTCTGGTTCAGCTCTATTACGCTCTTATGATTTTACAGAGTACAAGAGATAAATCTTACAAAAGACCTCTTTCTAACTCTAGTAAACACTCCTATCTATAGGAGAGAAAAGCGTACAAAAATATATTAAGGACTAAACATTAAGCTTCGAATACAATGCCTTAGTAAAATATATTATAATCCATACGAAGAGTACAAAAGACTTCGACTCATTACAATCCCAAAATACCCTTACAATCTCCCCCTTTGTAATCAGAGTTGAAGACATCAATTTGTAAGAAGTTGGATTGAATACAGCATAACTCCTTGTATTTCTGTGTACCAACTTATTATCTTCTTAAGCTCCTTCTTGTCTCCCTCATTATTCTTCTTGCAATGATTCATTCGAACAATTAAGTTCGTATATTGCGAAGTTGAATATCTTTCTACTTCAACTGCTTGAAACAAAAATTTCTTCGATCTTCCAGACTTATCCTTCCCAAAAAAGACTAAACCAAAAGGTTTCAAGCAGATTTCTCCATCGGCATATCTTTTAAGTTCTGCTTGTGTCTTCGAAGGATTCATTGGAGCAGTAATTTCAAGACCCTTTGTTGTAGCTAACTCCACATCTATCATTGCTATACATTCATAATAATTTTCAATGAAGATTTTGATGTGAGTAACTCCCAGGTTAAACTCATCCGGCTTAGTGTTTTGCAAATAAGAAAACGACCTTTCCTTCAGAATTAATGCAACTTGTATAAGATCATACAAGTTCATCAATGGAAAGTCAAATATTGTGAATTCATGTACACTACCATTTTCCCTCACCACTGTATATTTCAAATTTTGGATTGTGTCTTCGAAGACCACATCCTTCTTTAGACTTATCACTTTCTTGATCTTTGTTAACGACCACACCTCCTCAGCAGGCTTCGCAAGAACAGCATGAAATCTGATCTTTATGTATGTTCCTACTTCCTTCTCTTTGACTTTGCTTTCAGCTTTGAATTGTGGCATGATGAATATCATTTCGTTTATAGGGAAATACAGCTGTCCTTCATCTGTATTTGTAACAATATAGCTTTGCTTGGGCTTTTTCTCAAAGGCGTACATGTGATTGAATGCAACTTTGGCTTCAATCGTTTCATAATTGTAATGCTTCGAAGAATCACCTTTGTTCAAGCCAGGTGGGTCACTGGCCCTTTGAGTCATAATACTCTGAATCATTCTCATTTTTTCAACCTCAACCTCTACCTCTGCTTTCTTTTCCTCCTTAGATTTTTCAATCAAAATTTCTTTGCTTTTTGATTTTGAGCCAGACACAGCATCATCAACTTTTGGCTTTGAGGCACTTCCTCCAATGTCAATAGATTTACCAATCACCATTCCTTTCGGTTTAGTAATTGGTACAGTTGTTACAACTGTCGAGGTGAATGGACCAGTTGTTGCCATTAATGGTTTTGTTGTTGGGATTTTCAAAGAGTAAACCTTCCCCACCACTTTCGAATCTCTTCCTTCAGTCTTCGACCGTGCATATAGTTTTTCTCCCCCTTGCACCCCTGTGCTAGCAGGTGGGGCATATGTAGTTGGAAGAAGATTGGAGATGCATGATAGAGGAGCTAGGTGTTGGATAAGTAACTCTTCAAACTCAGCAAATTTTGGATCAGATCTTCCGAAGATAGCATAGACGCAGTAGACTTGGAAGATAGACTTTTAAGCTCTTTCAAAAGTGCGAACACCTCCATGAAATTTTTATTGTCATTGGTTGAAAGCTGAGATAGCTGAGGGCTCATATTTTCGTACAACTTTGCAAACGTCGTTACTGCCTCACAAATAATGTCCACCTTCTTGTTGATGGAATCAAACTCCGTTCAAACAACATAAATTTCTTTCTCCATATCTTCTCTTAACTCCTGAATTTTGAAATTGACATCTTCTCTCACCTTCTTGACATCCTGGACAAACATCACATGCCTCTCTTTTGCAACTGCCTTCAAATCTTTCAAGTCATATGCAAACCCAGACTTTTGAGAATTCACTCTTAACTCATTATTTTGATCAGAATGATCAATCTTCTCTAATAACCTAGACTCTGAATCTTTTACCATTCCAGAGACTTTGGTGGTTAATCTCCTTTCAAGTAAGGACAGAATGCCATCAACTTCAAGGCTAGAAACAGAATGACCTCCCCCAAAATCAACTTGAGATTGAATAATAGAGTTAAGCTTCGTATTCAAGATCTGGAATTGTTTCATCATCATGAGCATATGATCCGGGAATTCAGTTTCCTCCTCATCAAATTCTAGATTCTCAAAAGTTCCCCCCAAAAGCTTCAGATTCATTTTCAGTATCCATGAAGGAATATTTTATTGGAGAAGTAGTGGTTGGTGGATCAGTTGATTGTGAAGGAAAAATAGTGATAAAGGGCTGTGAAATAATGTTTGCAAAAGTTGGAAAATCGGTTGTGGATGATGTAGGAATGATAGGGGTAATATGTGAAGGTAAAGAAATGAAAGAATGTGAAACCACATTCGAAGGGTTACATTTTGTTGCTTTATTGGAATCATCCTCACCCATGATGACATTTGTATCCATATCAGATATGTTTATAGGGATGTCTGAAGTTCGAGCCTCCACAGTAACTGTCTTGGCAAGCAAAACTTTGGGTGGTGTAATAACAGATGTATCCATGTGAGAAGAAGCTTTAATCAAAACTGCCTTAGGTGTCTCAGGAATGGTTTCACCCTCATCTGTAGTAGATTCTGAGGTAAGAATCACCCTTCGCTTTTTCTTCTTGGAGAGTTGTTTTTCCATATCAGCAACCAAGCAATTTTTCGAAGAAGGAGAAGCAGGGGCAGGTATGTCTCTAAAAATCACCCCTTGATGAGAAACTTGGGGTTTACGAACAACTTTCGTACTAGATGATCGACGCTTGTGCTTCGACTTCATCTTGATTCGTCTTAATACACCAGTCTTTGAAGGAACGACTTCTTTTTCAATCACCTAGGTATTAGGAATAATAGGCTTCGGCTAAATTGGCTCAGGTTCGATCACAGGAACCTACTTCATACTCTTTGATGTCGTAACCTTTGTACCCGAAGACCCAAAATCATTCTTCTTTGCCTTCTTTGACTTCTTTTCAGTTGTTAGTTGTAAGAGAATCCCATTTTCCATAGAAGTATCTATGGATTCTAAGTAAGAAATCAAGACTGGGTTTGAAGGATCAATCCTTTTTAACATGGCGTCAGGGATACGAGCAAAAAACGGAAATACATCTAAATCATCCGTTGCATCCTTCGGGCAACTGTAAGTGTGAAACATAGCTTTCTCCTCTTCCGCTGGAACTAAAATACCTTCTTTTTCATAGAAATGCTACAAAATTAGACTCCAATATCAAGCACACGAAATGCCATGAATAGCATTCATGTTTTCGATACTTTTCTGAAACTCCTTCCATAGTTGTGTTGAGTAATCAACCTAAAGATCATAGTATAGCCCAACAACCATGGTGTACACCTCCATTCTTCCATTATCGAGACCAACCGTTCTGCCAGTTAAGCACCGAAGAAATATCCCAAATAAAAAATTCCATACACTTGGTAACCCTGACTTATTGAAGTCACTTATCTTTGTCAATTGGGGTTGATGACCCATTTCATTGAACATGTGTATAATTTGTGGAAAGGTAAAAGTAACATATGGTGGTGAATTCGGTATGGCAAGGATTTGGCAGAAAAGCTTCTTTGATAACCTAACCTTTTTATCTTTGATGAGGTTGAATGTAACAGCTTCCAAAGCTTTTGAATATGTTGCAGTTGAACCGGCTTGAGATAACCAAGAAAGAGGAACAAAGAATGAGTTGAACACGACCTTTGATAATACCGAGTTTTGCAAAGCAACCACCAGCATTTTTCGATTCTTCAGGATACAAAGAAACATTTGATTCAACCTGGTAATTAGTACCCTGAATCTTCATGATCGGCAGAGAAGTAACATCATCAGTTGTGTGAGAAAGAGTAGCATCAGGATTTGCAGTCGCCATTTTTAGGGTTTAAAAGTAGATGATTATTAGAGAAACTTTAGTAAGATGAAAGAGTAAACTGATAATGAACCCTTGAATCCCCTTTTATATGCAACTCTTCAATTTGAAATCAAAGCAGGATATGCATTTAAAGCTTGCTGACGTGTCACCGAGAAAAGCGCATCATGATGATGATAAAGTAACCATGCGTCAAAAAGTAACTGTCACATTGCCTTGAAAACCAGAAGTAATATAAAACGTCTCCTCAAACAGCTTGCATTTATTGACCCAATGGAATTGTAACCGTCAGAACCCCTTTTGGGTTGAAAAGCGAAGTTATATGCCAGATGTTTGAAATCATCAGCCTGAGTTGGTGTTACTCAGAACCTCAAGGATTTCGTGAGTGCAGTGGGTCAACATAATAAAGATAAGAAGCAAAGTAAAACAAATTTTTTTGGAGATGTAGTGATGTCAAACCTACAATTTGACACGAAGGCAGATAAACTCCGGGCAAAGGTTGCTTCGTTAATTATTAAGAAAGATAATCAACAGCTTGTGTAGTTTCCTGTGAATTACAATCGAATACTTGTAAATAAGTATCGAAGGGCTTCTTTTTCAAGGTTTCAAAGGGTGGCATAGGAATTTCGTTACATATCAGCCTTAACATAAGGGGAGTAACTGTAACAGAAATTACTTGTTTGACTAGTGAAGTCAGTGACAAGTGTGCTTTGAAAAATATTGAATGTAACTTTGGGATTCGAAGTAAACTCACACGGAAATCATATTCATGAAAAAAAATGTCCTGGATCTTGTTGGGTAACAAACACTATGGGTTTCGAATGTTTGATCCAGATCACTCATATGAAATGAATATGATTTGGAGTTTTGAAAATAGGTACTGAAACAAATGTTTCGTAAAGTCTGGAACATAGTTCCCCGTCAATTCCTTAATTTGCAAGAAATTTGGGTTTCACTTTCATCACGGTCCCATGATGTCAGATCATTAACACATATTGTTTATATGTCTAAGTCTCGATTGGTTTGATCAAAGACCTCTTGGACATATGTCTTCGTGTGTGATCGTGAAAGAAATTTTAGATGAAAAAGATTAGTGAAGATTCGAAGTGTACCTCTGTTACATTTGGACCAAACAGAAAACTCTTAACTCATGTGAGAAGAGTAAGGTGGCTCATTAGACTAATGTGAATATAAGCCTTATTGGGTAGAAATCTTCGTATGAAAATTTTCATTAAGGCTTTCAAACATTGAGTCAATTCGAGGCTTCGGATAACATGCAACAACATGCTTCTAGGGACATCTTAACTAGTTAAAAAAAATTGAAATTCAAAGATTAGAAATTTATACCTGACCCTTGAATCTGCAAACATTTGCCTCTTCACATCTTCAAGAATAGCTACAACAAAGTACTCAAAAGAAAGAAGAAATAAAATCTTTTTGTTGTTTTTGATTTTTCGAATATAAAGAACAAAATAAAACGAAAATATTTTTGATGTTTTTGATTTTTCAAAAATAAAGAACAAAACAAAATAAACGAAAGTACTTGTTGTAATTATACGAAGTTTTAGAATGTGATGAAAAATACCAATCATACGAATTCGAAGCATACGAAGAGTGACTTATGAACAGTAACCTTATCCGTAGATGATGTGTCGGTGAATTATCATTATTTAACCTTCAATCTCCTTTTTCGCATGAAATTGAATTACCATCAACCATTCCAAGTCCTTCCAGAATCCTCATAAACGATTTTTCATCCAATGCTTTTGTGAAAATATCAGCCAACTGATCAGTTGTTTTCACAAAATGAACTTCAATATTCTCATCCTCTACGTGATCTTTTATGAAGTGATAACGAAGAGCAATGTGTTTGGTCTTCGAATGTTGCACAAGATTATGACAAATTCTTATTGCACTTTGTGAATCACAATATAAATGAATCTTTTTCATATTAATTGCATAATCACGTAATTGACTTTGAATCCAAATTATTTGTGAAGTGCATGCAGCAGTAACAACATATTCAGCTTCGACCGTTGAGATTGAAACACATGTCTGCTTTTTCGATTTCCAGCTTACCAACTTACCATCAAGTAATTGACAACCTCCATTAGTGCTTTTCCTATCAAGGCTACATCCTCCCAAATCTGCATCTGAATAAGCTTGAATAAAGAATCCAGTATTCGAAGGGTACCACAATCCAAGCGAAGATGTTCCTTTGAGATAACGAAAGATATTCTTCACAGCAGTGAGATGTGGTTCTCAAGGATTTTACTGATATCTGGCACAGTTACACATAGAAAACATGATAATAGGTCTACTTGTTGTTAAGTAAAGTAAAGATCCAATCATGCTCCTATATAGAGTTAGGTCAACATATGGTTTATCTAACGAAGGATTTAGTTTTATGACGGTTGCCATTGGTACTCGTAACTTTGTGATATTCATCATCCCAAACTTTTCAAGCAGATTCTTCGTGTATTTTTCTTGATTTATGAAAATTCCTTCTCTATTTTGGCGAATGTTTAAACCAAGAAAATTGTTAATTTTACCCACCATGCTCATTTCGAATTTACTCTTCATCAGGTCTTCGAATTCTTTAGACAAAACAGGGTCAGTTGAGCCAAAAATAATGTCATCAACATAAATTTGAACAAGCATTAGATGATTCCCAACTTTCTTATGAAATAATGTGGGGTCAACTGATCCTTGTTTAAATTTAGATTGCTTAGAAAACGAAGTAAGATTTGCATACCAGGCTCGTGGAGCTTGTTTTAACCCATAAACTGCCTTATCTAAGATATAAACATAATCAAGATGTTCTAAGTTTACAAAACCTGGAGGTTGTTCCACATAAACTGTTTCTTTGAGTTCTTCATTTAGAAATGCACATTTCACATCCATTTGATATACATCAAAATCTTTGTGAGCTGCATAAGCAAAAAATATACGAACCTCCTCGAGTCTTGCAACAGGGGCAAAAGTTTCTTCGTAATCAATTCCTTCTTGTTGAGAATATCCTTTAAGAACAAGTATGGCTTTGTTTCGAACAATATTTCCATCTTTTTCGGCTTTATTTTTGAAAATCCATTTTAATCCGACAATCGAAACATCATTTGGCTTAGGAATTAACCTCCAAACTTTATTTCGTTCAAATTCATACAATTCAGATTGCATCGCAACAACCCAATCTGAGTGTTCCATTGAAATCTTAACTGTTTTTGGTTCAATTTTTGAGATAAAAACGTTGAACATGCAAAACTGTTGATGAACATTTAATACCTCATTCTTCGCACAAATTTGAGCTCTTGTTAAAACTCCTTCTTGTGGATTACCAATTATTTGTTCCTTCGTATGATCTTTTGTCCATTTGTCCATTGGTGGCAAGGCTGGATCGAATTCCAAAGGTGAATCTTCGTACATTTCTTCATTTTTAGATCCTGCAATCGAACAAACATCATTAATATCATGATAATTTTCATCATTTTGATTTAACTCCCTTTCAACATTATCATTTAATTGCTCCCCCTCAACATCATCATTTGCTCTCTCATTCTCCCCCTCGAAAGAATGCTCCCCCTCAATTAGAGTGTTTGACTCCAATTGCTCCCCCTCAACTAGATCATTATGCATACTTTCGCCCATTTCTTGAGGAGATGAAGTTGAGTCATCAGTTAGTTTTGAAACTTCAGTGACATATGATTATCAGGAACATTGATTTCTGCATTTGCAGCATAATTTGAATTACAAAAAATCAAATCATAACCAATGTCCAATGATTGTATATCTTCAAAGTCAGTTTGATTTTCTTGTAATATTGGATGATTTTCAAAATGTTTATCGGATTGTTTGACATAATAATCATCAAAAGTAAGATTGAATGTTTCTTCCACTTTTCGAGTTCATTTGT